GGGGGGTGGGAGACCTTTGAGGGGGGGCGACCCTTTTTGGATGGCCAAACTTTAAGGAGTGGCAGACCTTTTAGGGAGTGGCAAAAACCCTTTTAGGGAGTGGCCAATCTTTTAGGGGAAATGGCAAACCCTTTTGGGGGGTGGCAGACCTTTGAGGGGGGTGGCCAACCTTGAGGGAGTGGGGAGACCCTTTTAGGGGGGTGGCAGACCTTTTAGGGAGTGGCCAACCCTTTTGGGGGGTGGCAGAAAATTTTAGGGGGTGGGAAACCTTTGAGGGAAATGGCCAATCTTTGAGGGAGTGGCAGCCTTTGAGGGAGTGGGGCCAAACTTTGAGGGGGGGGCGCCTTTGAGGGAGTGGCCAATCTTTAGGGGTGGCAGACCTTTTAGGGGGGGCAGACCCTTTTAGGGAGGGGCAAACCTTTGAGGGGGTGGCCCAAATTTTTAGGGGTGGCCCGACCTTTTGAGGGAGTGGCCAATCTTTGGGGAGTGGCAGACCTTTGAGGGAGGGCCAACTTTAGGGGTGGCAGATCTTTGAGGAGTAGCCAATCTTTGAGGAGTGGCCAATTTGAGGGGGGCCAAACTTTGAGGGGTGGCAACCTTTTTAGGGAGTGGCCAAACCTTTTTAGGGAAGTGACGACCTTTAGGGAGTGGCCAATCTTTGAGGGAAATGGCAGACCTTTGGGGAGGGCCAAACTTTGAGGGGTGGCAAACCTTTGAGGGAGTGGCCCAAACTTTGAGGGGGCAGACCTTTGAGGGGTGGCCAACCTTTGAGGGAATGACAGCCCTTTTAGGGGGGCCAACCCTTTTAGGGAGTGGCAGACCTTTGAGGAGTGGCCAACCCTTTTAGGGAGTGGGAGCCTTTGAGGGGGTGGGAAAAACCTTTTAGGGGTGGCAGACCTTTGAGGGGGTGGCCCAAACTTTGAGGGAGTGGCCAAACTTTGAGGGAGTGGCCAACCCTTTTAGGGGTGCAGACCTTTGAAAGGGGGGTGGCAGACCTTTGAGGGAGTGGCAAACCCTTTTAGGAGTGGCAGACCTTTGAGGGGGTGGCCCCAAACTTTGAGGGGGTGGCCAACCTTTGAGGGGAAAATGCAGACCTTTTAATGTGGAGACCTTTGAGGGAGTGGCAAAACCTTGGAGAGTCGCCAACCTTTGAGGGGGGTGGCCAAACTTTGGGGGAGTGGCCAAACTTTGAGGGATTGGGGGCCCAAACTTTGGGGAGTGGCAGACCTTTGAGAGAGTCGCCAACCTTTGAGGGATGGCCAACCTTTGAGGGAGTGGCCGCCTTTGAGGGATGGCCCAACCTTTGACGGAGTGGGCCCGCCTTTGAGGTAGTGGGGGGGTAGAGATACTCAAGGAACTGGTTGGATTAAAACGGAAATTTTCAATAACTGGAAAGGATTAAAAAAGAATGGGTGGATTTTTTTAAATGAAGAACATTAGGAATGAAGAAATTGGACTGAAGAACATTAGTGACTGAAGAAATTATGACTGAAGAACTTTGGACTGAAGAACTTATGCTGAAAACATTAGTGACTGAAAACATTAGTGGGGAAAAACATTTTTGACCTGAAGAACATTAGTGACGAAGAAAATTAGTGCTGAAGAAAGTTAGTGACTGAAGAAAATTGGGTGAAGAACATTAGTGCCGAAGAAATTAGGCTGAAGAAACATTGTGACTGAGAACATTTGGACTGAAGAACATTAGTGACTGAAGGGAAAATTGGACTGAAGAACCTTTTTGACGAAAAACATTATGATGAAGAACTTTAGTAAAGGAAGGACTTTAATAACTGAAGAACTGAATAAAGGAAGAACATTATTAATTTTGGAAAAAAATTTTGTAAAATGGGAATGGAATTTTAACTGGGAAAAACTTAGGGTGGAATCCTTGTAGTGGGTGTACGTAGCCATACAATGACCCCCACTCACACAAATCCCCAAGACACAATAATTCCCCTTTTTATAGGTTAAGTTATAAGTCATTACCTCACAAAATGCATCACAGTGATTAGTTTAGCAGTATTAAGTTTAAGTATTGCGGGGTTAGTTTATACGAGTGTTAGACTCAGTTCTTTTAATCACGCTTGTCAACTTTTCTACTGCTAAAGTAGTTAGTTTTTTGTTTTTATTGTTTTGGGTGTTGTTTTGTTGTTACTGCTGCGTTTTTCTGTTTTGTTGTTGCTACTCGTGCGTGCTGTTGTTGGTTTTTACGCTGTGTGTTGTTTGTTTTGGGATTGTTACTGCTGCTGCTGTTTTTGGTGTTGGTTTGTTATCTGTTGTTTATGTTTTTGTTTTACTGCTGCTGGTTTTCTGTTGTTGTTGTTTTCACTGCTGTGCTGTTGTTGTTTGGGATTGTTACTGCTGTTGTTATTGTTGTTACTGCTGCGCTGTTGTTGATGGTATTGTTACTGCTTTGTTATTTTGTTACTGTGCTGTTGTTTTTGTTGTTGTTGTTGTACTGTGCGCTGTTGTTTTTTGTTGGTATTTTTACTGCTGTTTT